CCAAAACAACAGAGGTTCCGTGGGGGGGTGTGTCGGGGCCAGGTGGGGGGTGTCGGTCGGGGCCAGGTGGGGGGTTCGGTTGGTCTTGGGCGAGCAATCGCGGGGTGGGTGGCCCCGAGCACAAAGGTTCTGTGGATGGAGGTGTCGGGGCCAGGTGGGGCGTATCGGTCGGAGCCATGTGGGTGGCATCGGTTGGTTTTGGGCGAGAGGCGAGAAGTCGTGGGGTGGGGGGCCCCGAGAGCAGAGGTTCTGTGTGTGGGGGTGTCGGGGCCAGGTGGGGGGTATCGGTCGGGGCCAGGGGGGGGCGTCGGTGGGTTGGGCTCGGCGAGAAATCGCGGGGTGGGGGAAAGAACAGAGGTTCTGTGGGTAGGGCGTCGGTGCCAGGATGGGGGGGGTATCGGGGGGGCCAGGGGGGGTGGGGGTGGGGTTGGGGGGTGGGGGGGGTGGGGGGTGGGGGGGGGGGGGGGGGGGGGTGGGGTGGGGGGTTGGGTGGGGCGGGTGGTGGTGGTGGTGGGGTGGGCGGTGGGGGGTAGCGGTCGGGGCCAGGTGAGGGATGTCGATTGGTTTTGGGCGTGAAGTCGCTGGGTGGGGGGTCCAAAGAACAGAGGTTCTGTGGGTGGGGGTGTCGGGGCCAGGTGTGGGGGGGGGACTGGCCGGGGCGAGGCGAGGGCTGTCGGTCGTTTTTGGAAGACAACTCGTGGGGTGGGGGGTCCTGAGCGCAGAGGTTGTGTGATGGGGGTGTCGGGGCAAGGTGGGGGGGCATCGGTCGGGGGCAGGTGGGGGGTATCTGTCGGGCTTGGGCGTGAAATCTGGGTGTGGGGGGTCCCAAGAACGAAGGTTCTGTGGGTAGGGGTGTCAGAGCCAGGTGGGGGCTCCCCGTCGGAGCCAGGCGGGGGGCGGGGGGCGTCGGTCGATTTTGGGCAAGAAATTGCGGGGTGGAGGGTCCCGAGAAGAGAGGTTCTGTGGGTGGGATGTCGGGGCCAGGTGGGGGGTATCGGTCGGGGCCAGGTGGGGGGGCTCGGTTGGTTTTGGGCGAGAAGTCGCGGGGTGGGGCCCAAGCACAGAGGTTCTGTGGGCGGGGGTGTCGGGGCCATGTGGGGGTGGGTGGGTGGGTGGGGAGGGTGTGTGTGTGGGGGGGGGGGGGCATCGGTCGGGGCCAGGTGGAGGGCTTCGGTGGGTTTTGGGGGAGACATCGTGGGTTGGGGGGGCTCCAAGAAGAGGGTTTGTTTTGGTTGACAAATCGTGGGGTGGGGGGTCCCAAGAACAAAGGTTTGGTGGGTGGGGGTGTCAGAGCCAGGTGGGGGGTCTCGGTCGGGGCCAGGCGGGAGGCGTCGGTAGATTTTGGGTCAGAAATCGCGGGATGAGGGCAGGTGGGGGGGTCTCGGTCGGGGCCAGGTGGGGGGCATCGGTCGATTTTGGGTGGGAAATCGCGTGGTGGGGGGTCCCGAGAACAGAGGTTCTGTGTGGGGGCGTCGGGTCCAGGTGGGGGATATCGGTCGGGGCCAGGTAGGGGTTTCGGTTGGTTTTGGGTGAGCAATCGTGGGGTGGGGGCTCCAAGAACAGAGGTTATGTGGGTGGGGGTGTCGGGGTGGGGGGTATCGGTCGGGGCCAGGTGGGGGGTGTCGGTCGGGTTTGGGCGAGAAATTGCGGGGTGGGGGGTCCCAGGAACATGGGTTGTGTGGGTGGGGGTGTTGGGGCCAGGTGGGGGGTATCGGTCGGGGCCAGGTGGGTGGGGCTCTGTGGGGCGGGGTGTCGGGGCCAGGTGGTGAGTGTCGGTCGGGGCCAGGTGGGGGGTTTCGGTTGGTTTTGGTTGAGCAATCGTGGGGTGGGGGGTCCCAAGAACAGAGGTTTTGTGGGTGGGGGTGTCGGGGCCGGGTGGTGGTATCGGTCGGGGCCAGGTGGGCGGTGGCGATCGGTTCTGGGCGAGATATCGTGGTGTGGGGGGCCCAAAGAACGTGGGTTCCGTGGGTGGAGGTGTCGGGGCGGCGCAGGGGCGAGAAACGATGTTGGCGTTTGCGTGCTGGGGCATGTTCTTTTGCGGAGTTGGGCGTTCCGGCGCGGACGGCCGAACGACCCCGCCCTGGCCGCGCGGTCGCCGCCGCAAAAAACTGCCAGTTCAACGCTGGCGCCGCGCAAAGGCGGCGCCGAACAAGGCTGCGCGCAGTCGCGCGCGCGACGGGGCGCTCGGGGTGGGGGGGCGGTGCCGCGCCGAAATTCATCGGTCGGCGTGGGCTGTCGGTCGGTTTTTGGGGAAAATCTCGTGGGGTCGGGGATCCTAAGACCAGAGGTCTGTGGGCGGGGGTGTCGGGGCCGGGTGAGGGGTGTCGGTCGGGACCAGGTCGGGGGCGCCGGTCGGTTTTGGTTCAGAAATCGTAGGGTGGGGAGTCCGAGAGCAATTGTTCAGTGGGTGGTGGTGTCGGGGCCAGGTGGGGGGCGTCGGTCGGGGCCAGGTGGGGGGCATCGGCTGGTGTTGGGTGAGAAATCGCGGGGTGGGGGGCCCTAAGAACAGAGGTTCTGTGGGTGGGGGTGTCGAGGCCAGGTGGGGGATGTCGGTCGGGGCCAGGTGGGGATGTTCGGTTGGTTTTGGTCGAGCAATCGTGGGGTGGGGGGTCCCAAGAACAGAGGTTCTGTGGGTGTGGGGGGGTTTTGTGGGCGGGGGTGTGTCGGGGCCAGGTGGGGGGGTGTCGGTCGGGGTCAGGTGGGGGGTATCGGTTGGTCGGGTTTGGGCGAAAAATCGTGGGGTGGGGGCCAGGTGGGAGGTGTCGATTGGTTTTGCGATGTCCCAAGAACAGAGGTTCTGTGGGTGGGGGTGGCGGGGCCAGGTGGGGGGCATCGGGCGGGGCCAGGTGGGGTGTATCGGTTGGTTTTGGGTGAGAAATCGTGAGGTGGGGGTAGAGGTTCTGTGGGTGGGGGTGTCGGGGCCAGGTGGAGGATATCGGTCGGGGCCGGGTGGGGGGGGGGGCTCTCTGGGGCGGGGTGTCGGGGCCGGGTGGGGGGTATCGGTCGGGGCCAGGTGGGGGTATCGGTCGGTTTTGGTAGAGAATGGTGGGGGGGGTCCCAAGAACAGAGGTTCTGTGGGCGGTGGTGTCGGGGCCAGGTGGGGGGTATCGGTACGGGCCAGGTGGGGGGTATCGATCGGTTTGGGTTGAGAAATCGCGGTGTGGGGGGTCCAAAGAACAGAGGTTCTGTGGGCGGGGGTGTCGGGGCCAGGTGTGGTGGGGACTGGTCGGGTCTCGGTCGGGGCCAGGTGGGGGGCGTCGGTCGGTTTTGGGCGAGAAATCGTGGGTTGGGGGGCCCCAAGAGCAGAGAATCCATGGGTGGCGAAGCCGGGGCGAGGTGGGGGTATCGGTCAGTTCTGGGCGAGGAAATGTCGTGCGTGGGGGGTCCCAAGAACTGAGCTCGCGTGGGGTTGGGGATTGTGGTGGGCCGCTGTGGGGGCGTGGTGAGGGCGCGGAGGGGGGGAGGTGGGGGTGGGGGTGTCGGGGCCGTGGTGGGGGCGTGGTGGGGGGTATCGTGAAAGTGGCGATCATGAAAGTGTAGGCGAGGAGGGGAGCGTTGGTGAGGAAGGGTGTGGTGGTAAGTGTTGGTGGAACTGGCGATCCGGAAAGTATATTGCACGAGGTGCAATCTCACGCGCCTCTGGGGTCGGCGGATTGTTCGGGCCATAGCGCGCGTTATGGCCTCCCGCCCCCCCTTACGTAACGCTCCGGTCCCCAGTGCGCCCCCGTCACGGCCGCCGTGCGCATAGGGATCCGCATAGAAACCCGAAGCGGGATCCGAATAGGCATCCGCTCAGAAATCCGCATAGGGATCCGCCTGGGGGTCGCATAAATATATCCATCGGGATCCGCATAGGCATCCGCAGTGGCATTCCCAGGGATTTTTGTTCCAGATCCGCACAGGGATTTGCAGAAGGATCCGCATCTAGAGATCCGCGTGGGTATCCGCATTGGGATCCCCAGAGGGATCTCCATAGGTATCCACATAAGAATCCGCAGGGGGTTCGCACAGGGATCTGCATGGCAATTCGCATATGCATCCGTGTAGGCATCCGCGTAGGGTTCCGCGTAGGGTTCCGCGTAGGGATGCGCATAGGCATCCGCATACAGATTCGCACATGGGCGATGGTCGCGGGCAAGTTTCGGTGTTCGTAGGAGTGAGAGCGATCTGAGGAGAAGGACGACGACGACATCGACGACGACGACGCCGACGAGGATGGAAGAGGGAGGAAAGGAGCATACCAATTATACGCCACGTGGATGCAATGACGCCTTCGCAGGCATGTGCTCGCCACAACTCCTCGTCGCTCTTTGTTGTCGGTCGTCGTCGTCGTCGTCGTCGTCGTCGGCATCGTCGTCATCGTCGTCGTCGTCGTCGTCGTCGTCGCTCGTCGTCGTCGCTCGTCGTCGTTGTCGTCGTCGTCGTCGTCGTTGTTGTCGTCGCGCTTCGTTGTCGGTCGTCGTCGCCGTCGTTGTCGTCGTCGTCGTCGTCGTCGTCGTCGTCATCTTCTTGGTCGTCGTCGTCGTTGTCGTCGGTCGTCATCACTCGCGGTCGCCCGTCGTTGTTAAACGCCTTCGAAGGCCTTCGAGGGCATCTTGAGGCCTTCTCATGACTTCTGGAAGGCATCTGGTGGCTTCCTGAAACCTCATGAGGCCTCCAGAAGCTTCGCTGTCGTCGTCGTCGTCGTCGTCGTCGTCGCTCGTAGCTCGTCGTCGTCGTCGGCGTCGGCGTCGGTGTCGGCGTCGTTGCTCGTCGCTCGTCGTCATCGTCGTCGTCGTCGTCGTCGTCGCTCGTCGCTCGTCGCTCGTCGTTCGTCGTCGTCGTCGTCGTCGTCGTCGTCGTCGTCGTCGTCGTCGTCGTCGTCGTCGTCGTCGTCGTCGTCGTCGTCGTGCGCGCGGACGCTGTGGTGGCGCCGGAACCGCGGGGCAGGTGTGCCCCCCCCCGGGGTCCCCCCCCCTCATAACGCTTGTTATCGGCGCGAATAAATAAACACGCTCCAGGAACAGAGATCGCCCTGGAGGACGGCAGCCCGGCGCGGCGCATCGACTCCAGGCGGTCTGGGCGCGGCTCTGGCTCAACGGCCTGCCCCTCGACGCGTGGGGCGCCGCAGGACGTCGTGCTTGTGCTGGCCAACCCCTCTAGCGTGCCGACCAGCACGAGCCCCACCTGCACGGAGAGTAGCAGGCCGAGCTCGCCCGGCTCGAGGTCTGAGCGCCCGTGGGGCGTCCAGGAGGTGTACCACCGACACTGGAGCACCGGCAGCTCCAGCGCCGAGGATTCGGAGTCGATGGCAAATGCGACCAGCGACCTGCGGCCCCAGCCAGAGCCGGATGACGACCAGCAGCCTGAGCCCCGCGGTGTCAACAACAACAAGACGGTGCGGCGGCGGGAGCTGCGGGTGGCCGCGCGGCGCCGCCGCGCCGTGCAGCGGCAGGCACAGGCCCAGGACAGCGCGGCGGCCGCGCCGCTGGACGGCCCCGACGGCGCCCCCAGTGGCGCCGAAGGTTCTGCGGGCGACGGCTTTGCGGCGGCCGCCGCCGATGCCGCGTGCCCCGGGGAGGGCAGTGCTGGCAAGGCGGCCGCCGGCAGGGCCTCGTCGAGCGCTTGCACGGAGTCGGGGCAGGGTCCCGGCAAGCATCGGACGGCGGCAGCCATGCAGTCTAGACCATCGGCGATCGGCGTTCGAACAACGTGGCCTCAGAGGCCCGAATTTTATCCATAACCCGCTCTGGCCCCTCGTGACGAGGTTCGGGGCCTGAGCAGGGGCATGGACAGAATTTCGATCGCCTAGACCACATCGATGGACACCGCCGCGCGTGTATCGGACCGGTCTAGTGCATGGCTGGCATCGTCCAAGAGCACCCAGTCGGCAGTGTCGCTTCCAGCAACAGCGCCTCCTCCGGGTCGGAGCAGCCGGCGGAGCTCAGCGGCGACGCCCAGCAGCGGGCAGCGCGCGAGTGGTTCTCGTTGTAGTAGTCGCACCCTTCTCTGAAGTGCCCAGACATGTGGCCCCTCGCGTCGAGGAGATTCTTCTCGCTTCGCGGGGTTCACGTCCGGAGCACGCGCAGTCCTGTCGTTGCGGGGCCTGGTGGGAGCTTTTTTGGTGCCTCTTAGAGGCCTATTGTGGGCTTCCTGGGTCCTCTTAGGGACTTCTTGGGTTCTCTTGCAAGCTTCTTTTGGGGCCTCCTGGGGGCGTCTTGGGCCGTCTTGGGGCGCTCTTGCGCCGTTGCGGGCTGTGTCGCTGGGGCCTTTGGTGGAGCTCCTTGTGGAGCCACGAAACGTGTGAGGGGTGTGCCGAAACGCGGGTGTGGCCCACATGCGGGCTGCGCCCCTGGGACCGTAGGTGGAGCTTCCTGTGGGGCCACGATCCGTGCGAGGGGTGTGCCGAAAGGGGGTGTCGCCCGCATGCGGGCTGTGCCACTGGGGCCTTGGGTGGAGGTCCCTTTGGTGCCACGAACCGTGTGAGGGGTGTGTCGTCACAGGGATTGCGCCCACATGCGGGTGCGCTACCGTAACCTCAGGTGGAGCTCCCCATGAGGCCACGGAACGTTATGGGGCCACGAAACGTTTGAGGGATGTGCCGACATGAGGGGTGGCGCCTACATGCAGGCTGCGCCATTTGGGGCTCAGGTGGAGCTCCCCATGGGGCCACGAACCGTGTGAGGGGTGTGCCGACGGGCTCACAGAAAGCAGAACCAGCCGAATTGGCCCAGTAGGGCCACTCGGCGCTCAGTGCCGCTGATCCACGGGGCTCCCGATGGTGCTCGGGTTCGCTTGGAGGCCTACGGGGCCGTCTTGAGGCCCTCTTGGGGCAGTCGTAGGAGGAGGCCTCTTGAGGGGGTCTTTGTGCCTTGGGGGCTCCTTGGAAGCTTTTTTGGCTGTCTTAGTGCGTTCCTGGCCCGTCGGACGCCGTCGGGAGCCGTCTTGGCCGCCTTGCTGTGCAATCTGGGAGTACTGGGGGTACTTCAGGGCCGTATTGGAGGCTATCCTGGCCGTCTTGGGGGCCTATGCGGCCGTCTTGAGACCTTCTGGGGGCCGTCTCAGGACCTCTTGGGCCGTCATAGGGCCATCTTGGAGGCATCTGGGGCGATCTTGAGGGCCTCTGGGGCCGTCGGAAGGCCGAAAAGACTGAAGCGCCCAAGTCCTTCAAAAGCATTTAGAAAATCAATGGTTTGGGCCTCTTCGGCTCCTTTTCCCCGAAAGGGCGCAGGCCCAGGGTTCTGTTTTAGTTTTGTTCCACTAAGATGGGGTTTTGTTCCCCATATCCTAAGTTTGGGTACTTGTTATTACTCTATATTACTCTGACCGCGACGGACCCTTCTCACCCCTCCCCTCCCTCCTCCTTCTCTTCACCATGGTATGGTGAGAGTATGATGTGAGTATGATGGTGATGTTGAATGATGGATGTGTATGATGATGATAATGCTGCTGCTGCTGCTGCTGATGATGATGATGATGATGATGATGATGGTGATGATGATGATGATGATGATGGTGATGATGGTGATGATGGTGGTGATGATGATGATGATGATGATGATGATGACGATGATGACAATGAGCAGATGATCAGGATGTCTCGAGCAGTTAGCTAGTTTCAGCCCTCCCCCCAGCAGGGCTGCAGCTCGGGCTGTAGGCTGTAGATTAGGCTCTTCGGAACTCACACGCCGGATCGGCGGATTTCACTCATGAGATTCTCGACCGCGGTTTCTTCAAATGCACCCACCCAGCTTTCGCACATGAGACCGCTGAGGACCACCGAAGAGACCGCCGATGGCCGCCGAAGACGGCCGACGGGCCATGGGTAGCCAGCGGTCTATGGCCGAAGCCGTAGCATCATCCGTTCTCCTCCTACCCCTCTGCCTGCTCTTGATATCCTCCTCCTCTCCTGGATGTCCTCTTCCTCCTCCGTTACTGATTCCTCGCGTCTTGCTGGAGGCTGTCTGCTTGCGATAGATGCTTCTGGTTTCCCCGTGCGCATATGCATGCGGCAGATTGCTCCAGCTCCGTTGTCGCCTGTTTTTCCCGGACAGGACTCTGGCCCAGGGTTCTCTTTTAGTTGGTTACCCCCCCGGCCTCGACTTGAAAAGGGCCTGCGGAAGTATTTTGCGATAACGGACGAGGTCGAAGAGGGCTGGCGGAATTATCTTTGAGGGTGTCCCGAGCGAAACGCTTGTTTTGCAGAACTTGTTGAGGACGTCTCGAGCGAAATGCTTGTTTTGTGTTATAGATTGTCTTCTCCTGGGGACCAGAATTCAGATGATGTCTCAGGTGACATGCTTGTTTTCACGTGCCCAGGTCTTAAGGCTGTCTCGAGCGAGACGCTTGGTTTCGCGCGTCCAGGTTGCCCAGGCAGATGTCTAGCATGAGGACTTGTTGAGGATGTCTCGAGCGAGACTCTTGTTTTCACGCGTCCAAATCGCCCAGGCGGATGTCTAGCATGAGGATGTGTTGAGGAAGTCTCGATCGAGACGCTTGTCTTCACGTGTCCATGTCGCCCAGGCGGATGTCTAGCATGAGGATGTGTTGAGAAGGTCTCGAGCGAAACGCTTGTTTTCTCGTGCCCAGGGAAGATCTGTTGAGGATGTCTTGAGCGAACCACTTGTTTTCACGTGTCCAGTTCGCCCAGGCGGATGTCTAGCATGAGGACGTGTTGAGGATGTGTTGAGCGAAACGCTTGTTTTCACGTGTCCAGGTCGCCCAGGCGGATGTCTAGCATGAGGATTTGCGCAGGATTTCGCGAGCGAAACGCTTGTTCCCAGCACGTTGCGTAGCGCGTCCCCTTGGCACGTCCCGCGGTGCGTCCCCATGGCCCGTCCCCTGGCGCGTCGCCTGGGGCGTCCCTTGGGACGGTCCGCGGCGCATCCTCCTGGCATGTCCCCCTGTCAATTAGCTCTGGAGCAGCTTCTATGTGCTCAGGCAGCTCGAGCTCAAGATCCAGATCAGTTCGGTCAGGACTCGGATGCAAAGGAGGACTTGATCCACAACGCTATAGAGCACAATCGCGGCATGGCACATCGCAATTCAGCACGGCGCAGCGCAGCAAAGCCGTCGGCACGGTACATCAAGATCCCCGTCGCCCAATCAGATGCCTTTGAACACGTTGCTATGCCTTACATTTCTATATTCCTTTCCGGGTTCGTGGGTCGATCATGTTTCCGGAAAGGGCTCCGGCCCAGGGTTCTCTTTTATAACTAGTTGTTTACCCTCGGGATCGATTTGAAGAGGGCTTGCGGAATTATTCTGTGATAACTAACGAGATCGAGGAGAGCCGGCTGGATTATTTAATCGCTTCGCTCATTCCGCCGGCCCATGATGAGGCACCGCGGTCGATTGGGCGAGAGGTCGTCGGCAGTGCGGAGCTGCAGGGGTCGGCGCATGTTTTTTTCTGAGGCGTTGCGTTCGGGATGGTGGTGTTGAAGCTGCCCCCGCGAAACAGCTTCGTGTCGACCTTCTGAGGAGGTGTCGGGGGAATCGTTGTTTCCACGGGGCTTCTAGGTTGTGCCGCTCTGTGGTGTCTCTGGCGCCTTTGTGGGGGCTCGTTGCTCGTGGACGCTCATGCGGGGGCCATGAACACAGTGTAACTGTTGCGACAGGTATGCCCCTCGCCGTGAGAGGGAAAAGAGAGAAAGAGAGAGAGAGAGAGAGAGAGTGGCGGCTCTTGGGGCCTCTTGGGGCGTCCTGGATGCCTCTTGGAGCGGAAGGCTCGGATTTTCGGTTCGTGGTCTCCATCTTGGGCTCCTCTTGGGGCCCTCTTGGGCCGTCTTGTGCGCCTTTTGGGTTGTCTTGCAGCTCTCTTGGGCGGTCTTGGGTCTCTCTTGGGGGCCTCTTGGGCCGTCTTGGGGTGGTCTTGGGGGCCTCTTGGGGGCCTCATGGGCCGTCTTGGAGTGTCGGAAACGCGAAAAGGTGAGGAAGCCAAAAACCTTCAGACACCTAATGGCAATTACTGAGTTTTGCCTCTTGGGCCTCCGTTTTGGAGCCTTTTGGGGTCTCTTTCGGGCCTCTTGGCGCCTCTTGGGGCCTCTTGGGGGCCTCTTGGGGCGTCCTGGATGCCTCTTGGAGCGGAAGGCTCGGATTTTCGGTTCGTGGTCTCCATCTTGGGCCCGTCTTGGGGCCCTCTTGGGCCGTCTTGTGCGCCTTTTGGGTTGTCTTGCAGCTCTCTTGGGCTGTCTTGGGGCCCTCTTGGGCGGTCTGAGCGCTCTCTTGGGGGCCTCTTGGGCAGTCTTGGGGTGGTCTTGGGGGCCTCTTGGGCCGTCTTGGAGCGTCGGAAAGGTGAAAAGGCGAGGAAGCCAAAAACCTTCAAAAACCTAAGGCAAATCATTGATTCTTAGGCTTACGCCACACCGCCGACCCCTTGTTTATGCCAATCTGGGGGTAGTAGAAGCTGCGAAGGGGTGAAAAGGCGAGTGATATTTGTTTGGTGTCTGTTCGCCGCCACCGCCAGAGGGTCTCGGGCAGTTCCGCGGGGAGGTCCGAGCGGACAGCGACACTGCGAGTTTTGGAGCCACTCGGGGGCCGTTTCGGAGCCTCTGGGGTGCTTCTTGGGGGTTCCTTGGGGCGTCTGGGCGGCCTCGTGAGGGCCTCTGGGGGCCTCTTGGGGCACTCTTGGGGCCCCCTGGGGCTCCTGGGGGCAGAAAGCTAGAGTTTCAACATGTTTGGTCGCCCTCTTGGGCCCCTCTTGGTGCCGTCTTGGAGCCCTCTTGGGCCGTCTTGGGGACCTCTTGGGCCGTGTTGGGGCCGTCTTGGGCCGTCTGGAGGCCGTCTTGGGGGCCTCTTGGGCCATCTTGGGGCTGTCTTTGGGGCCTCTTTGGCCGTCTTGGAGCGTCGGGAAGCCGAAAAGGCGGAAAAGCAAAAAACATCGAAAAACACTATGGAAAATCAACAATTTTAGACTCTTGGGGCCCTCTTGGGAGGCTTGTTTGGGACCTCGGGGGCCGTCTTGGAGACCTCTTGGCCCGTCTTGGGGCCATCTTGGGCGTCTTGGAACGGTCGTTTGGCGTCTCGGGGCCTTCGTGGGCCGTCTTGGAGGCCTCTTGGGGGCTTCTTGGCCCGTCTTGAGGCCCTCTTGGGCCCGGAAAAGCCCTGGAACCGCTCGTCCCGGCCGTGCTGCGCTCGTCCTGGCCCCCTCCCCGCCTCCAAATCGGCCCTCTTGGGCCGTCTTGAGGACCTCTTGGGCCGTCTTGGGGCCGTCCTGGGCCGTCTGGAGGCCGTCTTGGGGGCCTCTTGGGCCATCTTGGGGCTATCTTTGGGGCCTCGTCGCGCGTCTTGGAGCGTTGGGAAGCCGGAAAGGCGGAAAAGCAAAAAACGTCGAAGAACACTATGGAAAATCAACAATTTTAGACTCTTGGGGCCTTCTTGGGAGACTTGTATGGGACCTCGGGGGCCGCTTGGAGACCTCTTGGCCCGTCTTGGGGCCATCTTGGGCGTCTTGGAGGGGTCGTTTGGCGTCTCGGAGCCTTCGTGGGCCGTCTTGGAGGCCTCTTGGAGCCTTCTTGGCCCGTCTTGAGGCCCTCTTGGGCCCGGAAAAGCCCTGGAACCGCTCGTCCCGGCCGTGCTGCGCTCGTCCCGGCCCCCTCCCCCCCTCCAAATCGGCCCTCTTGGGCCGTCTTGGGGACCTCTTGGGCCGTCTTGGGGCCGTCTTGGGCCGTCTGGAGGCCGTCTTGGGGGCCTCTTGGGCCATCTTGGGGCTATCTTTGGGGCCTCTTTGCCCGTCTTGGAGCGTCGGGAAGCCGGAAAGGCGGAAAAGCAAAAAACATCGAAAAACACTCTGGAAAATCAGCAATTTTTGACTCTTTGGGCCCTCTTGGGAGGCTCATTTGGGACCTCAGGGGCCGTCTTGGAGACCTCTTGGCCCGTCTTGGGGCCATCGTGGGCGTCTTGGAGCGGTCGTTTGGCTTCTCGGAGCCTTCGTGGGCCGTCTTGGAGGCCTCAGGTGACATGCTTGTTTTCACGTGCCCAGGTCTTAAGGCTGTCTCGAGCGAGACGCTTGGTTTCGCGCGTCCAGGTTGCCCAGGCAGATGTCTAGCATGAGGACTTGTTGAGGATGTCTCGAGCGAGACTCTTGTTTTCACGCGTCCAATTCGCCCAGGCGGATGTCTAGCATGAGGATGTGTTGAGGAAGTCTCGATCGAGACGCTTGTCTTCACGTGTCCATGTCGCCCAGGCGGATGTCTAGCATGAGGATGTGTTGAGAAGGTCTCGAGCGAAACGCTTGTTTTCTCGTGCCCAGGGAAGATCTGTTGAGGATGTCTTGAGCGAACCACTTGTTTTCACGTGTCCAGTTCGCCCAGGCGGATGTCTAGCATGAGGACGTGTTGAGGATGTGTTGAGCGAAACGCTTGTTTTCACGTGTCCAGGTCGCCCAGGCGGATGTCTAGCATGAGGATTTGCGCAGGATTTCGCGAGCGAAACGCTTGTTCCCAGCACGTTGCGTAGCGCGTCCCCTTGGCACGTCCCGCGGTGCGTCCCCATGGCCCGTCCCCTGGCGCGTCGCCTGGGGCGTCCCTTGGGACGGTCCGCGGCGCATCCTCCTGGCATGTCCCCCTGTCAATTAGCTCTGGAGCAGCTTCTATGTGCTCAGGCAGCTCGAGCTCAAGATCCAGATCAGTTCGGTCAGGACTCGGATGCAAAGGAGGACTTGATCCACAACGCTATAGAGCACAATCGCGGCATGGCACATCGCAATTCAGCACGGCGCAGCGCAGCAAAGCCGTCGGCACGGTACATCAAGATCCCCCGTCGCCCAATCAGATGCCTTTGAACACGTTGCTATGCCTTACATTTCTATATTCCTTTCCGGGTTCGTGGGTCGATCATGTTTCCGGAAAGGGCTCCGGCCCAGGGTTCTCTTTTATAACTAGTTGTTTACCCTCGGGATCGATTTGAAGAGGGCTTGCGGAATTATTCTGTGATAACTAACGAGATCGAGGAGAGCCGGCTGGATTATTTAATCGCTTCGCTCATTCCGCCGGCCCATGATGAGGCACCGCGGTCGATTGGGCGAGAGGTCGTCGGCAGTGCGGAGCTGCAGGGGTCGGCGCATGTTTTTTTCTGAGGCGTTGCGTTCGGGATGGTGGTGTTGAAGCTGCCCCCGCGAAACAGCTTCGTGTCGACCTTCTGAGGAGGTGTCGGGGGAATCGTTGTTTCCACGGGGCTTCTAGGTTGTGCCGCTCTGTGGTGTCTCTGGCGCCTTTGTGGGGGCTCGTTGCTCGTGGACGCTCATGCGGGGGCCATGAACACAGTGTAACTGTTGCGACAGGTATGCCCCTCGCCGTGAGAGGGAAAAGAGAGAAAGAGAGAGAGAGAGAGAGAGAGTGGCGGCTCTTGGGGCCTCTTGGGGCGTCCTGGATGCCTCTTGGAGCGGAAGGCTCGGATTTTCGGTTCGTGGTCTCCATCTTGGGCTCCTCTTGGGGCCCTCTTGGGCCGTCTTGTGCGCCTTTTGGGTTGTCTTGCAGCTCTCTTGGGCGGTCTTGGGTCTCTCTTGGGGGCCTCTTGGGCCGTCTTGGGGTGGTCTTGGGGGCCTCTTGGGGGCCTCATGGGCCGTCTTGGAGTGTCGGAAACGCGAAAAGGTGAGGAAGCCAAAAACCTTCAGACACCTAATGGCAATTACTGAGTTTTGCCTCTTGGGCCTCCGTTTTGGAGCCTTTTGGGGTCTCTTTCGGGCCTCTTGGCGCCTCTTGGGGCCTCTTGGGGGCCTCTTGGGGCGTCCTGGATGCCTCTTGGAGCGGAAGGCTCGGATTTTCGGTTCGTGGTCTCCATCTTGGGCCCGTCTTGGGGCCCTCTTGGGCCGTCTTGTGCGCCTTTTGGGTTGTCTTGCAGCTCTCTTGGGCTGTCTTGGGGCCCTCTTGGGCGGTCTGAGCGCTCTCTTGGGGGCCTCTTGGGCAGTCTTGGGGTGGTCTTGGGGGCCTCTTGGGCCGTCTTGGAGCGTCGGAAAGGTGAAAAGGCGAGGAAGCCAAAAACCTTCAAAAACCTAAGGCAAATCATTGATTCTTAGGCTTACGCCACACCGCCGACCCCTTGTTTATGCCAATCTGGGGGTAGTAGAAGCTGCGAAGGGGTGAAAAGGCGAGTGATATTTGTTTGGTGTCTGTTCGCCGCCACCGCCAGAGGGTCTCGGGCAGTTCCGCGGGGAGGTCCGAGCGGACAGCGACACTGCGAGTTTTGGAGCCACTCGGGGGCCGTTTCGGAGCCTCTGGGGTGCTTCTTGGGGGTTCCTTGGGGCGTCTGGGCGGCCTCGTGAGGGCCTCTGGGGGCCTCTTGGGGCACTCTTGGGGCCCCCTGGGGCTCCTGGGGGCAGAAAGCTAGAGTTTCAACATGTTTGGTCGCCCTCTTGGGCCCCTCGTGGTGCCGTCTTGGAGCCCTCTTGGGCCGTCTTGGGGACCTCTTGGGCCGTGTTGGGGCCGTCTTGGGCCGTCTGGAGGCCGTCTTGGGGGCCTCTTGGGCCATCTTGGGGCTGTCTTTGGGGCCTCTTTGGCCGTCTTGGAGCGTCGGGAAGCCGAAAAGGCGGAAAAGCAAAACACATCGAAAAACACTATGGAAAATCAACAATTTTAGACTCTTGGGGCCCTCTTGGGAGGCTTGTTTGGGACCTCGGGGGCCGTCTTGGAGACCTCTTGGCCCGTCTTGGGGCCATCTTGGGCGTCTTGGAACGGTCGTTTGGCGCCTCGGGGCCTTCGTGGGCCGTCTTGGAGGCCTCTTGGGGGCTTCTTGGCCCGTCTTGAGGCCCTCTTGGGCCCGGAAAAGCTCCGTGAACCGCTCGTCCCGGCCGTGGTGCGCTCGTCCTGGCCCCCTCCCCGCCTCCAAATCGGCCCTCTTGGGCCGTCTTGAGGACCTCTTGGGCCGTCTTGGGGCCGTCCTGGGCCGTCTGGAGGCCGTCTTGGGGGCCTCTTGGGCCATCTTGGGGCTATCTTTGGGGCCTCGTCGCGCGTCTTGGAGCGTTGGGAAGCCGGAAAGGCGGAAAAGCAAAAAACGTCGAAGAACACTATGGAAAATCAACAATTTTAGACTCTTGGGGCCTTCTTGGGAGACTTGTATGGGACGTCGGGGGCCGCCTTGGAGACCTCTTGGCCCGTCTTGGGGCCATCTTGGGCGTCTTGGAGGGGTCGTTTGGCGTCTCGGAGCCTTCGTGGGCCGTCTTGGAGGCCTCTTGGAGCCTTCTTGGCCCGTCTTGAGGCCCTCTTGGGCCCGGAAAAGCCCTGGAACCGCTCGTCCCGGCCGTGCTGCGCTCGTCCCGGCCCCCTCCCCCCCTCCAAATCGGCCCTCTTGGGCCGTCTTGGGGACCTCTTGGGCCGTCTTGGGGCCGTCTTGGGCCGTCTGGAGGCCGTCTTGGGGGCCTCTTGGGCCATCTTGGGGCTATCTTTGGGGCCTCTTTGCCCGTCTTGGAGCGTCGGGAAGCCGGAAAGGCGGAAAAGCAAAAAACATCGAAAAACACTCTGGAAAATCAGCAATTTTTGACTCTTTGGGCCCTCTTGGGAGGCTCATTTGGGACCTCAGGGGCCGTCTTGGAGACCTCTTGGCCCGTCTTGGGGCCATCGTGGGCGTCTTGGAGCGGTCGTTTGGCTTCTCGGAGCCTTCGTGGGCCGTCTTGGAGGCCTCTTGGGGGCTTCGTGGCCCGTCTTGAAGCCCTCTTGGGCCAGGAAAAGCCCCGTGGAGCGCTCGTCCCGGACCCCCCCCCCCCCCGTGAGCGCTCGTCCCGGACCCCCCCCCCCCCTCCAAATCGACCGGACCGGGCTCCCGGGGGAGGGGTTTGGGGAGGGGGAAGCATCTCACACGCCGATGATCCCCAAGGGGTCGGCGGATTTTTGCCTCTTGGGGCTCTCTTGGGAAGGGTCGGGGCTCTCTTGGGACGTCTTGGAGGCCTCTTGGGCCGTCTTGACGCCGTGTTGGGCGTCTTGGGCCGATCGTTCGGTGATTCGGAGTCCTCTTGGACCGTCTGGGGCCTCTTTTGGTCCTCTTGGCGCGCTCTGGGGGGCGTGGAAGGCCGCACCCAGGAGGGAAACCATCTCTGAGTAATAGTTCCCGGGCTTCGGTCGGGGTACTTTTCGCCGGGGGACCCCCAGGGGCCGCCCCGCGCGCGCGAACTAGAATTATTGTTGACCAGTTACCGGAGACCTTAGCACGCCACTGGCCCGTTGTGCCGGCGAATTCCCAACCCTCTTGCGTTGGGTTCTCGTTTTGAATAGAGCATTGTGGTCGTGTCCTCCTTCCCGCCCCCTCTCCGCTTCTCTCCTGCCTCTCACCCCCCTACATCCTGCGTGCTAGCTTGCTTCCTACCTGGCCATCCCTGGGGGGCTGCGATCTGCGAAACTGCCTCTCGTGCCGTCAATAGAGCCTCGGCGCTGAGGACCTCGCCATCCCTGGGTGGCTGCGATCTTCGGAACTGTCGCCACTTTCGAGGGCTGCTGGGGGGGCCAACATAGTGGGTACTCGCCGCGGACTCAGATTAGACTTTGCCATCCCTGGGGGGCTGCGATTTCCTAAATTGTCGCCACTTTCGAGGGCTGCTGGGGGGGCAGCATAGTGGGTACTCGCCGCGGACTCAGATTAGACGTTGCCATCCCTGGGGGGCTGCGATCTGCGAAACTGTCGCCACTTTCTAGGGCTGCTGGGGGGGCCAGCGGAGTCGGGTCGCACGCAGATCCAGATTAGACCTCGCCATCCCTGGGGGGCTGCGATCTGCGAAACTGTCGCCATTTTCGAGTGCTGTTGGGGGGGCTAGCGAGTGAGCGAGTGACGTCCTATCGCTGACGGTTCGGCCCCCCACGCGTCCTTCTCCTGCCCTTCGTTCCCGCTCCCAGATCCTCCTCAAGCCTGGGCCCTCCGTCGTTGTCATGTGAATCGTGCCATGCGAGTGCGCACTATATAGCTTGCGCACAACATATACCTGCGTCAGCACTGTTATTCTCCTGGCACATTTGGGCCAACTCCTCTTGTCACTTGGTGCAAATGGATTTGAGAATTTGAGTTCATTCGGGTATGTATGTTCGGTATGAGCTTGAACTCGTTTCGGGTTTCACGGTATCCTCTTTGGCCCAAAGGACTCTTGGCGTGTGAGGAAAAAGGTCGGCCCTCTCACCATCGTTGCTGTCACTTTCCGATGCTTCGCACGTCAGTGGTAGTTGGAGCGTAGTGCAGCCGCGCAGCCGCGGCAGATCCACGGCACAGCATGCCGCAGAGTAGGCAGGACAATGGCGACGAGAGAGAAGGCACTTCCCGCGGCGAGGACGTATTTTCCAGAGAATGGGTGTCGAGCAGCAGCTTCACGGACGAACAGGCAAGGGAAATCACTCAGCTGTCCGAAAGGCAGTGGACGAAGATCGGAAGCTTGGTCACCAAGCTGAACGCGAGCAGGGAGTCAGAGGGCGCTGGTCGGGAAGCTCGCGACGGTTCGGACCCACGGGAGAGAGAAGACCCATGGAAAACGGACCGCCGACCAGGGAGCCAAGGCTTCCAACGAGGAGGAGAACAGAGGACGTGGGGTGGGGGGCTGGTCCAAGTATGACGACGGCTGGAAGATCGCCGAGTGGCAGGTCAGCAGCTGGCGAAACTCGTGGTCCTAGAAGGGCGGCTGGGACAAGCCCGGCTTAGGCCTTCTTGGGCTGGGCGGACTACCGCCTGTGGAGGAGGCGTCTCGTTCGGCGGGTCGACCAGACCGACGTCCCCGTCAAGAAGAGAGCAAACAAAGATTTGAAGACGCTGGACAGAGACCTCCAGCGAACATTTTAGGACATATCGGACGATACATTACAATCAGCGGACGGAGTACAGGCCATCCTGCGGCGTCTAGACATCATGTCCGGACAGTGGATCGACGAAGAGAAGCGCAGAGCGGGCAGGGAGTGCCTGCTGGGCTTCCGCAGGAAGGCTGACGAGACCCTCTCGATGTACACGGCCAGGCTGGATCAGAATTTCG